AAGCCACCTCGGCTATCTCGGTGGGTCTTGAGGTCAGATTACAATATCACAGCGATCATGCCTCAACACTCCTTACCCAACAAAATTTCAACTTTTGAACATTTATACCTGTTGAGTAATGTGTGCGACTGTGGTAAGAATAATCAACATGCCAAGTATTAGCTTCTTGCTATGGCTGATAGACTTGTTAATTGCTTATAAATACCTGCCACCTAAACGCAACTGGTATCCGGCATAACCGTCTTCAAGCCCTGCCCATTGAAAGGCTACCTGACTACGAAGCGACCGGGAAAAAAAGTTCAGTTTTGTTCAAGAACTGACATTCAGATACTGTGGCGGAGACTTCGCAGTCACAGTGCGAATTAGCATGTCACACGCGCTGGACATCTGCCAAGGCCTCTGGGTCCAGCACCCCTGGGCAATTGTCCTCAGCGTAGCTGGCTATATCGCGGTGGCTCGACTTTTACGATACCGTTGCGTAAGAGCAATCGATGCGCCCTTTGCTCATGGCCTAAGGACACTGTCCAGCATGACGAGTGAAGAGGCGCATACGATTATTGGCCAGCTGCAGGAGCTGGAATTCCCATACGCTTTCAATAAGGCGCGCAAGATCGCCCTGCTCAAGGTACGACAATCTCTGCTCCCAGCAAACTCGAATCCCGCACCTGCCCAGCCAGCCATCGTGGCGACTGATGTAAGCCCGTAACTAAATTTTGAGTCTTCGAATTTTTGCAGGCGGGTAGCATCCCAACAATGTCCAAGCTCTTCGCCGTGACGGGCCAGAACAACAAGCGCAATTCTGGCAAACGCGCCGTGGACACGGAGATCCTCCTCCGAGAAGCCCAGTCCCAGCCTCGCGATTCAGATCGCTATAGCACTGCGGTCGCGAGAATGAACTATCTGTATGTACTGAGTTCCTGTGCCCCCTTCTCCGTTCAGAGTCTGTTCACTAACCCCTCATATCTCCAGACACACCCGCTACCGCAAGGCCAACAAGATCACAGACCCAGACCTCCTGCATACCCTCGGCGATGGACTGGCGGAGATCCTCAATGTGATCGACCGAGACGAATGGCGCAAGCTGACGGACGTCGAGAAATGTGCCCTGGGCATCTTCCACAAGAACCTGGGCGAGGACATGGGGATTCCCTTTGAGCCTCTTGCGTCCTCGCACGAGGGCTGGCGCGATGGGTTGCACTTCGCCATGGAGCTACGCGACTGGACGATTCGCTACGAAGAAGAAGTGGCCCGGCCTGTCGCGACGAACGATCAGTATGTCCGGGTGTATGTCGATGCGGCGATGGCTGGGCTCCCTGGCTTTGTCACGATGATGGTGCGAAAGATATTGGCCGCGGACCTGGATGAAATCATGCGGACGAGTCTTTGGTGAGTGGTCCAGCCTCCGATCGAGTGGCGGAAGCACTGGCTAGCATCCTTTCTAGTCGGTCATCTCTTTAACAAATGCTAATTCTGACATCCTCTTAGCCTAGAGAAGCCCGGTCCCATTCTCCTATTTGTACTGTTCTGCATCCGCGGAACACGCAAAGCATTCCTCCGATGCCTCGCCCTCCCGCGGTTCTCTGCTGTCCAACCCGTGCATGAAACGGCCGATTCGAAGACGAATCGATATCACTTCGACAGACAGACCCTACAGCCGTGGTATATAGAGCCAACCCTTGGGTCAGCTTGGGGCCCGGGTGCGTTGCTTGTGAGGATGCTCGGAGGGAAATTGCCGGGTTCGCCGGGGGACCGCTACCAACCACAAGGATACGATCTTATGACGATTGGGCCCGATCCTCAGAAGGAACGAGGAGTGGTGGGGATGGGGTCTGATATCAAGGTGATCAAGGCGAGGGCCGTGGCGACTTGTCCGTTCTCGCAAGCCAACGCGGGAGGATTTAATTGAGATTGTTCTGCGCGGATTGTATTGTCTCGGACATTGTGACAAGAAAGACGATATAGGTAGAGACGATGACCAGATAGAAACTCAATCAGAATTACTTGCTTTGAGTAGAGTATATTAGCTACATTGTTCTTGAAAACCATGTGTTCAACAAGTTACTGATTTAGGATACCGCGGTGGTGGTACTCGGCAGGGTTGATAGATCCAATCCTAGTAGAAACCCATGACGTCAATTGACATGGCCTAAAAAACAGCCTGACTATCTATAGATATCCATAACGTCAGCAGAAGATATAAAAATAATGATTCATGCCTGGTTGTTCATGGCCAATCTCTGTATAAAATCCAACACCTCTATCTTCTATGTTTATCCAGCTGTCCGCCTTTTCCCTACATCCTATCGTCCCATGAATCCGGCAGCAAGAATGTACTCACCCCTCAGAGTACCGCCTTAAGCTCCCTCTTCGGCCTCAAGATACACTGCTGCGTCATATTCGCCACCAACCGCCCACCCTGATCCCACATCCTCGCCTCCGTATACGTCCGCCCATCCGCGCCAGCGACCGTCTTCAACTCGCGCAGATGCCAGTTCTCCAAACCCCAATCTGCCGCGAACACCCGCATCGAGAAGTCCAACGATGCACAGGCGCCCGCATCATCCAGAAACATCCCACTATGCGCCAGCGGAAGAAAGCTCAGAAACGCATCCAGCACAAACGCTAGACCCGCGTACTCCTCCAAGCGGTGGGGTATCGGGTGGCGGACGCGGAACCAGTCCGCCGAGGTTCGGGCCGTCAGGGGCAAAGCGTCCTGGCCGGTGGGGTGGGCCTTGGCCATCCCGTTGAAGTTCTGCCCCGACACGCCTTCGGGCGTCTGTCGCGTCTCGAAGAAGCGGGCGATGAGGCTGAAGAGCTTGGTATATTGCGCAAAGGCCTCCTCGGTGAGGATTCCGCGCTTGACCATATCGGTACCGATCTCCTGTGGGGTAAGGCAGGCCTCTGGCGGGGAGTATGTCCGGTCCGGCGGGGTGGAGTAGCTGAGCATGACCCGCTCACCCTCTTTCTGAAAGTCTGCGAGGATGATCATGCATAGTCTGGTGGTCATGTCGGCCTGCGTCTGTGTGATCTCTACCTGTCGCGTGGCGAAGGTCCGGGTGTCTCGGAGGCGGCGGACGGAGCAGGTGAGTTTCTGTTCGGTTGATACAGGGGCGAGGAAGTGTCCTGTTACCGAGTAGAGGAGATACTGGGAAGGGACGGTCTGGCAGGCTGCGTTGACGGCGACGCCCAGGGCGCACCCGCCGTAGGCGATATTGGCGGCGTTGCCCATCTTTTCGGGCTGGTAGCGCGATCGGAAGACATTGGGGCCGATCTGTTCCACAGAGATATGCTCGGCGAGAGTGCGCGCTTGAGCCGGGGTGGTAGGTGGTGAGGATGCTGGGGACATTATGGTGGTTATGGTCGGGCCCTGGAAGGAATTTGTACAACGCAACGTAGCGGGGGTCTATAATCTTATTTATACTATAGTTGGGAAGTGCTATAACCTTATTTTTGGAATCACGGCCCGAGGTTGCGGGTCCAACTGCCGAGGCTGGCTGACCAAGGTGGCCAATCATACCGCGAAAGAATGGTCGATTTCTAGGGGTTGCGGATCCACTTTGGAGACACAATTTTGATGCCCTCTGAGTACCATTCGACTGCTGACTTTGCTAAAAAGCCGTCGAGAACAGGCCTCCGGATATATGGGGCATCATTCCAGCTTCTGTTTGCTTTAAATATCTGAGGTTAAGATTTTTTTGCATTCACCAGTCATTGATTTAATGCATAAAATAGTGCTGTCAGTGAGTCAAGATGTACGGTGTAGCTTCTTGACCAGTTGACAGACCAGGAAAACGGCCATCCATACACACCTGGAGCGGCCCACATATGGAACCGAACCAAGCACATTGACGCCACTTCTCAGTAGAACCTAGTGGTCGACACATATGTCTTGTAACAGAAAGCCGCCAACGCCAGCCCAGCAACGAAGTCGGTAAAAATAGTGAGGAACCAGAACCATGGAATCTGAGGCACGCCCCCAGAGAAATGGGCTGGTGTGCGGATCCCAAGCGACGCATAACTGGCGAGGTAGATCAGCGACGTCTGCAGGTTTCTAGACTTATATAATTGATAGCCACGGACGCCACAGAAGGTGTGGAAAGGATAGGAGATAGTGATGCCGATGCGATATGCCCGCCCAGAGGTGTAGATCCAAGGAACCGACGGGCAGTCTTTCGCGCGCAGGTAATTGTGGGCGTAATTTATGGTTGTTGTGAGCCACAGGGAGAATAATATGATGCGTAAGGAGCGCATCTGGGAGGACTCTTAGAGTAGTTTGGGTTGGGGTTGAGCATGTTGCAAATTGGGGCTCTGTCTGCTAAGGGGTGCAAAGAAAGGAGCTCGGGCGCGATGTATCGATGGTCCCAAAACAAATGGTGAGGCACTGTACCTATATTTGATTCTCCTATTCCTTATATCTGACGAGCTCGACGCATATTATATCGATGAAACTGTGGATAATGTAATATGGACTGACCTCGGATGCTCCTCTGTTCGTGCTGTCCTGCTTGGTGCATGCATTTCCTGTGTGCTCAGAAATGCAAGTTTTATCCAGATTGCATTCAATCGATTGTAAACCTATAGATGTTACGTTAGGAAGCGTACACGACCCAATACTACGCTTCTGTACCTTTTTGCGCGGCAAACAGTTTAGATGCCGAGCCTTCCCCGAGGATATTATAATCGAACTGAGTACTGCCCAGCATGCATTTGAATATGCTACGAAGGTGAATAGTGGATCGAGTTCTTCATGACACCCGTATACTTCCATTCTTGCAAACTTATCGTCTTTGAGCTATACCGGTTCTTTCCTGAACCAAGCATTGAAATGTACTTCACCCCGCCCCCAATCGAGGTCCCCTCATCGTACGAAGCCATCCCAACACAAGAATTCAGACTCTTGCATTACCCCGGGGCCTGATCAAGTGTGTGAGCTTAAATCAGCCCGCAAAGTGAGATGTCTTCGCCCTTGCAAGTAACTCATCGTACAAATTTATCGTATTCCGGAATAAGTCAGTATATTGCTCCTCTACAGACAGAATAACTCTCGTGTACACCCCGCACAAACCAGAGCACCAGTACCCATACTATCCATCCACATAAAATTCTAAGCCCTATCAAACCTTCGCCCTCTCACCTAGCTTCGGCCTCAAAATCGTCGTTTGCGTCATCACAGCAACCAACCTGCCCCCATCATGAAAGACCCTCCCCTCACTAACTACCCGCGCACCTCCCGCCGCACAAGTCTGTTGCTCACTAACCATCCACTCCCCCACATCAACTTGATGCGTCATCACCCGCAAGGCAAATTCCAGCGTAGCGCAGGCACTTGCATCTAGCAGACTCCGGCCCGCGTGGTTAGCGGGGATGTACGCGAGGCCGCGGTCCATGTAGAACGCCAGCGCGGCGAGCTGAGCGGATTCGCTCCCAAGGGGCGTCTGCAGGCGGAAGTGTTCAGCCGAAATGATGCCAGTGATATCCCCTTCAGACTTCCGGTTGGTGGCCGGAAGGGGTTGCACCTCCATGAACCGGTTGATGTATTCATATAGTCCCGATTCTTGGATACTGGCTGGATGAGCTGGTGCAGCGGTGATGGGTGCAGACTGCGGACGAGCGGAATAATTCACCATTTCAAGCGTCTCCTCAACGTGGAAGTCGGTCGTTGCGAGGAAGCATAGCTGCTCGCCGGTGGGGTTTTCTTGGTACACGCGGAGATGTCGGGTTTGGAAGATCCGCGTGTCCCGGATGCGTGCGACTTGGCAGATGAGCTTGAGGGAGGGGCTCGCGGGCCGGACGAAATGTCCGGTGAGTGAATAGAGGTGATGGCCGGGTTTAGTGGTGGCGTAGGCTGCGCTGATGGCGATGGCGAGGATGTTGCCGCCGTAGGCCCAGTCGGCGAGGTCGCCCATGCGCGTCGGTGGGAGGCACGAGATGAATCGGTCAGGGCCGAGCGCTCCGACGGCGAGTTGTTCTTGGAGGGTTATCATGGTGGTTGTGTTTGGTAAAGGTCCTGATTTGGTGGCAGAGATATGAATATGGTTCTTAAATGACTATTAAGGGCATCGTAGTGACATGTGATGCTATGGGTGATATTGTAATCAAGCGTGGTCCAGGACCCTTATGACTTCCCGGGAAAGAGCTTATGCTTGGCGACTTTCAGTTCAGTGCTCTGTTCATTATAGCATCTTGGATGGTTTTTGACTTCTGTTTTACTCGGATTTAGAAATGAAAGTCGCTCGCTCCGAAACGGCACAGGTCACCTTCATTATATTCACGCCTTGTATGCCGCATCTCCCATAACATTTAGATCGACATCCGAAGCGCTCGATTATCACGCTACAGCTATCAGATGCTGATTACATTGCAGTGCCTAAAGGCCGTACAGAAGCACGCAAAGCAGCGTTGACATCAATCATTCTGAACCCGGGGGCGCGCCCGAGAATGACAAATCCATGAAGAAGCCCTATCCACATTAGCTAAGTCAATCACAGTTCCGCAAGGAACTTACTCCAGAGAAACTTTTATCAAATCCAGCATAGGATCCATGCTCAGAGCGCGGCCGCCTTGATGGTTCCTCTACGATGCGAACCGTGGGAAACAAGCTCGACCCCTGCAGATCCACCCCATGCTGCTTAAGATACCCTTCCACGTCCCGACTATCGAACCACTGCCCCCCAAGCCCACAAATTTCAAGCAATCGAGCGCGATCATCCCCTGATGTCGACTCATCCCCATCTCCGCCACTTGGAAGGATTCCAAGCACTCGACGTGGCAGCCTCATATTCTTCGGATGCATTGGAATGCCGAATTCATCTTTATCGAGATAATGCGTACCTGCTCCACCTACACCATAGAATGGAAGACCGGGAACCTCAAGTGGGGACTCGGCTCCACCTCGTAGCAATTGCTCAAATCGCGGTTGCATCTTGTTTTTGTCCTGTATGCAAGGCACGAGACGGAACACGCGGTACACTTGTTGGGGATTTGACCGGGGGTCGATAAACAGATTGAATGCGTGCTCGAGGCAGTATCGCTGCAGTCTACGGGCGAAGCGCCCTTCCTGGAACGACTAAGTGTGACCTCTGGTCGAGATGGGCCGGGGTAATGAATGCTGCCGTCTCCGCGGCGGAGTTAGTGGCTCCTGCTGAACCTCCCAGTTGCTTTGTGTTCGGTCGAGACGATAACCCAATATCTGGTGTGGTGTAGTGGGAAATACATCAGGTTCTGGCGTAACATGAATGAGAGAGGAATCATTTTGAAAGGCTGAACCGTGAGGAGCATCCTGCTCAATCAACACCCCGCGAATTTGCGTCAGGCGCGCATATATATCCGGATGGGACAGCTGCAGCCGCGCCTCAGTAGCAGCTTCGCAAGTGCCGAACACCTGATCTGACAGCCTACGAAGCTTTTCCTCCAGGTCCTTGACGCGATCGAGGGTTTGGCGGAAGACCGCCTCTTTTTTAAGGCGGTATGTCTTCTGGGCGCGCCGAATCTGCGTGCGTCGGTTTTCCGAGAGGATTGCGGGGCCACCGGCCCCGATGCGGGGTCGGCCTACGCGCTTCCCTGAGCGCAGCCGCTTTTTAATCGGGCTTGAGGGGTTGAGCTGTTTCTGTGAGGCATCTGGCATTGCTGTATACTGATTTGGTATTCCTGTGTCAGGTTGTGGCTCTGGTGGCGTTGCGGATGGTGCGATGGCGGGGACGGCATTGCTGGGCTCATACACCTCCCCTAGAAATGATCTAGCAGACTGAATAGATAAGGTCGATCGACATTCCATCTCTATGGAATTTAATCATCATAATTTTGAACCAAGTGAAGCTCCATCACAAGATGTGTTAAGCGTGGTTGACCGCCTTGGCCTTCCGAGGTCTGGAAGGCGCGGCAGATTGATTCTGCCGTTGTTACTCCACCAACCGTCTTTTCTCAACAGAATTATGCACATGAAGCTGAGCCCTAGAATTTCCCGCCTAATGATCTGCATAAAGTAAAGTATTTGTCCTCAGCCCTGTCGACCAAGCCTTCAATACCCCATTGTCATAGCTAATCATTCTCTCCTTCTCTGCCTTTCTCTGTGGCTGTCTTCTTTCTCAGATAATCATTTTATTGTCATGTTTCAGACAACTAGTTAGTTGACACCTTCGGACATGACAGATCATCTCACCGTAACGTCCACTGGCACGTGAATGTATTTTTCCAGTCCACGGAGCCGTTCCTTCGCCAACTGAAGCAGCCCATCCTCTTTACAAACCGCGAACCGGAGATAATTCACCCCAAGATGCGCATTCCCCCCACTATAAAATACCGACGGTGGAATAGCGGCAACCCCAAACTCTTGGATCAGAAACCAGCACAGGTGAAAGTCGCGCCGCCGCGTGGCAATCCACCTCGGGAAGGGGTAAGTGTCCGGAATCTGCACCGACGACAAGTCCGCGAGGACAAAGTATCCGCCTTCGGGTCGCGTATACTACTCATCCAGATCGTCCAAGTCAGCTTAGAATGTAAAGTCGAACTGAGAGACTGGATGAGGGGGTTGACGCCACCGGAATCCCCAGCTCATCCCAGATCTCGCAGAAACGCCGGATCTTCGGCTGCATCTGATCACGGCTTTCCTCCCAGAACCCCGTCTCCGCTGCCCGAGTGTAGGCAATGGCGGTGGCTTCCTGGAGTGGGGACGCGGTGCTGTAACAGATCTTGGTGTGGATGGCGGCTACTGCATTAATCAGGGGTGGCGGTCCTACTAAATACCCGATTTTCCAGCCGGTGGCGTGGAGGGATTTGCCCGCGGAGCCAACCGTCAACGTACGGCTGTAGAGGGCGGGCACGAGGCTAGCCATACTGGTGAATGGGGCGTAGGATAACTGGTTATAAACCTCGTCGGATAGGATGAGAATGTTGTGTTGGATGCAGAGTGTGCCAATCAATTGCAGCTCCGGCTGGGTGAAGACTTTGCCGGTCGGGTTGTGTCTACTAGCCATGATTAACTATGTAGGAAGGGCATTAAAGTGAAGAGGTGTGCTTTTACGGAGTGTTTAGGACCTGTTGATGTTTAGTAGTGTTAGTATTACCTTCGCCTTCGGCACTGGAGCTTGGAGCAGTATGCATGCCTACCATCATTCTGGTGCGATTATTGATCGCGCTCTTAAGACTTTCAAAATCGATAGTCCAGTTAGACGGAGCTTTCGATTTGTTCGTCTCTTGCTGCGGAGGATTGAGCGGCACATGTCGAACCACAGCGCCAGCAAGCTCGATCCCGCTGATAAACCTGGATTTTTGGTAAATCGCTCCTCATCAGAAAGTGCTCAAGTGGATTCAAGCATACTGATCGAAAAACGGCTCAAGGACGATGACCTCATCGCCGGGCGTGAGGAAAGCCATGAAGGCGCAAAGCAAGCCTAACATGAAATCTTAGAGATGTCCCTTGGTCAACAAAAGTACCATTAAGCACTTACCTTCGCTAGCGCCAGAGGTGATGACAACCTCTGTTTCCGCATCGATGGGCTGCTTCCATGAGCTGGAGAAAAGACGTGCAATTACTTGTTTCAATATCGGACGGCCCTAAACCTCAGGTTCGAATACGTTGCGTAAGCCAGTGATGCGCGGTCGTCTTTTCAATGCCAGAGGTACGCTACCTTTGTCGGTGAGCATTGATTACAATCAACCCTATTCAGGGCATCTTTTGCTGCGTCAATAGCGAACTGTGGCGGGTTGTATCCACTGTGCTTATTAGCACAAACCTAATGCAAGCATTGTGAGGTGATGCTGACAAGAAGCCTTGACCCAGGTTCACGATCGGTTGCACCGGAGAGGCGGAGGCCGCACTGTTGACAAAGGACCAGACGTCCTGCTCCGGACAAATGTTACTCAAACTTGAGGAGGAATTATGACAACTGTTGGAAGCAGATGACGTCTTGCAAAGCTGGTTGTTCGTGGTTCAAAAGAGAATTATGGTGTTATTGTGTTCAAGCTTGCTTATAAGATATTTTGCAGTCAAGCTAGGACTACAACTCAATGGCAGCACCGACCCACAATATACAAGGACAACATTATGAGAAAATGATAGGTGGGACTTCAAGCTGTCTTATCGACCGGACTGACGTGATGTGACGATAATCTTTCCTGGATGTGAAGCAGGAGCATGTACGAAAAGTAAGGGGTAACAGGGTGTCAGCCCGCTCTTCAACTTCATGTCATGTAATGACTCCTAGTGCATAATTATTCGTGGATCTAACTTGCTTGAGGGAGCCAGCATGCAACCATGTGATTCTCATGAGCTAACTCGGGATGCATCGAGCCGTGGACATGATCGCCGAGTGCTGATCCCGGCATTTAGGGCCACCCAGGAAACCCTCGCCATCGAACCAGACGAATCCTGTAGTTCACACCTGCCGGAAGTCCTCCACCAGTTGGAAAGAGCTCCATGACGGGTCAGAGTCCGCTCCGTTGCAGCGACTCGCCCGCACGAAACAATTCTCGATCCCCTCAACGCAAGCCACAGGCCGTACCACCTCCACATCAGCGCCAAAACGATGAGAGTACCAGACCTCAGTCAGATTCTCATTAGGTGTGGAATGTTTTGGGGACCTGAACAGCTCAGGCAAGTGTTGCTGCATGTCCGCCAGTGCAATCTTGGTGCTACGATCCACGCCATCGCAATGACGCAAGCTGCGGAATGCGTGTGATACTCTTCCTCGTAGCATCGCCTGTATCTCTTCGGGGTATTGTCCGACCGCAAAAAGGAGGAGATTGAATTGCATGAGCGACACCTTCCCATGATATGACCCACCGAATTGGGCGCGGTTGTACAGCCCTATCAAGGCCGTAATAGCGCCCATACACCCCGCGCCGTAGTCGGCGATCGGCCAAGGGCTCACCATAGGTTCGCAGTGGCCTAGGAACTTCCCGAACTCCCACGCAAATCCCGTCAACTGTGTGATTCGCAGTCAGTACTTCAGACTACCACGGTGGAGAGGAGGGACAACGAACACAATCGGCAATCTGCTGCCACCCAGGCCGACCAGCCCACCGGCCCATATGGCCGAAGCAATTCTCATCTACGTAGACTATCCCCTTCCCGCGACGGGTTACCATGTCACTCAACGAGGACGAAGTATAGCCCAGTTTTTCCAGAACACCAGGCCGAAACCCATCAATCACTACGTCGGCTTCTTCCAGGAGCTGTTCGAATTTCTGCCGTCCCGTGGGACTCTTGAGGTCGAGATCGACGGCGCGTTTGCCCATATTGCCGTCCACTTGGAAGAACGGCACATCGGGGACGGAGGAAGAGCAGGTGATCTTCAAGACGTCCGCCCCATACTCGGCGAGAATACGACCAATGACGGGGCCAGCAATGACGCAGCAGAGTTCCAGTACCTTGATGCCATCGAGCACACGGCTGGATTTGCTTGTCTGGAATGGGGTAGGAGGGACATCGCCCGGCATGCGGGAGACTGTCCACCAGGGCTCGTTGAGGTTGGCTTTGCCCTGTTGCTGGGGTTTAGCATCGTCTCTACTTGCAGGAATGGGGCACGAACGTACATGCGGTGTAGCACAGAATTCCTCGTGCGTGTAGGCTGTCACTCCAGCTTGTCCAAACTCTTGACTGAGATCTTCGAGCTCAGCGGCCGAGAAATCTCTCACCTGTGTACCAATGAGTTCTACAATCTCATCGTATTCCGTCAGGTCCGGCCGATGGCTCGGAAGACCAATCATGTTTAGTGTTTTGGTCGGACTCAATGAGCCGTGCAAAAAGAAGTACTCATCCTCATTCTTAGTTCGATACATGTTGGCAGCCCGTCGGCGGTAAGGGTTCGACTGGGCAGAATGAATGTCGGTGTCTTACAAGTTCAGCCTTCAGTCAATAAACGCAGGGGAATTGCATACCTTTCAGATACTTCTTGATTTCAGGATCCGATTTTGAATAACCATTCACCTTGACAAGGAGTGCCTGAAACCCAAATAGCGTCGCTCTCTCGAGGCTGACGCGGATCTCCCTACCACCTGGCATCGCTCCGAAGCGCAGGTCTGCGATAGCCGCCGCCATCGCCCCCTCGACACCCTTCAGGGCGGCGAGTGTTTCTGTCACTTTAAATGGGGTGGGGTAATAGATATGATCTGCCGGCGAGGTGAAGATCACCTTGCTCCCGAGTGCATCGCAAGGGATATTCAGCCCCTCGGCGTCGTCGATCAACCCGCTGAAGATCTTTTCCGCCTCGGCCTTTGATGAGTAGTCTTCCTTTGCAGTGGCATTAATACTCATGATTGGTTGGTGTAATGTATCCTGTGTGCTTTCTAGATGCCCTTGATTAGAATAATGGTGCCTGAGCATGGGGCTACATATACGCATCACTCGGCGGGTTTTCGTTTCCTGTATGACGTGCATTAGATTCTCCTCAAAGATCGACTACTTCAAGGATGATATCATTCGCCGTCTGCCACAAACTGTATTAGCACTGTATCCCTCAATGAGCAATAGGGAAAAGAAACCCGCCCAGACAGGAGTGGCAGAAGTGCCGAGGTTACACAAGGCATGCGCCGGTAGTCTTTTAGGGCTCTGAGGAATGCCGCTTCATATTCAAGAGGGAGACTGCATCGTCATCGGAAGCATCGTCATCGAAAGCATCGTCACTGGGTATCAGGGAGAAAGAAGGCATGACCTAGATAAATATCGTTCTTGAGAATGTCAAGAAGCCTGTCTGATATTCTTATTCTCTCACACAACAGTAAGCACAGAATCCAGTCAACAGAAGACCCGGTTCGATCTTGTTTTTACTTTCATGATGCAAACACTATCATTACTTCTTGAAGATGCAGCACACAGTCACGGCGATCGAGGGATCGTATTCTACCCCGATGGGGTATGCGACAGCGAGAAGGCGACCCGGCTCACTTACGGAGAGCTCCACCGTCAGGCGTCGACCAACAGCACAAAGATTCGGCAACGGAACGGCTATGCGCCCGGCCAGATAGTCCTACTGCACCTGGGCCCGAACAACCATCTCGACACAATCATCTGGTTCTGGTCCCTCATCTATGCCAACTGCATACCAGCCATGTCTACCCCTTTCCCACAAGATCAGGGTCTTCGCCTGAAGCACTTGCACCACTTGCAAACATTATTGCAAGATCCAGTTTGCCTCACTAGACAGACACTGATAGACGAGTTCCCAGCTGATCTCACAATTTCGCTCGAGACCATTGAGCAATTCCAAGATATCGACACCGAGTCAACGACCGAGGCCGCACTTTCGGCTCCAACAAGCGAAGCCCCATCTGACATCGCCATCCTAATGCTCACATCCGGCAGCACGGGCCCATGCAAAGCCGTGGGTCTAACGCACCAGCAGATCCTCTGCTCCCTGAAGGGTAAATGCGCTGCGTTACCGTTACGGACTAACCAAAGTGCCTTCCTCAACTGGATCAGTCTGGACCACGTCGGAAGTTTGATCGAGATCCATCTGCACGCGCTGCTCGCCGGAGTTGACCAAGTGCATGTCTCCCCAAGCGATGTGATTCAGTCCCCGCTGTGGTTCTTGAAACTTCTGGAGCAACATCACATCGCGAGGACGTTTGCACCGAACTTCTTCCTGGCGATGCTGGCACGCACGCCGGATACGACCGCAGCGGGAAGCGCCATATTCTTCGACCTCCAGCACCTGCAGTATATCGTAAGCGGCGGCGAAGCGAATGGGGTCGGTGTCTGTGGCCGGTTGACTGCGTATCTCTCCCGCTGCGGGGCGGCGGAGAACTGCATAGTACCGGGGTTCGGAATGACGGAGACTTGCGCGGGGTGTATTTACAACCTAGGGTTTCCGGGGTATGATCAGCGGCACGGGTACGACTTCGCGTCCCTAGGTTCGTGCATCCCCGGGGTCGAGATGAGGATTGCGTCCGCCGTACCGGGGGAGGTTGGTGATCTGGAGGTGAGGGGGCCTGTTGTCTTCGCAGGGTACTTCAACAATCCCGAAGCGACGGCGGAGGCCTTCCAGCCCGACGGGTGGTTTCGGACGGGAGACAAGGGGTTCCTGGATGCAAACGGGTACCTCAACCTCGCTGGGCGGACAAATGATCTGATCTCCATCAACGGGGTCAAGCATCATGCATTAGCGCTTGAGGTCGGCTTGAACGAAGCGCAACTCCCCGGAGTGATTCCGGGTGAGGTGGTGTGCTTTGCGCATCGCGGCCCGGGGGTGGACACTGAGCAGGTATATGTTGTCTACGCGCACAGCTACAGCTCGCACGACACGAGGGCGCGTTATGAGACGCTGACGGCAATCAATCACAAGGTCTCGTTCATGACCAACACAAAGCCGTGCGTCCTCCCTCTACCTGCCCTCGAGCGATCATCGCTGGGGAAGGTATCCCGGTCGAAGCTGCGAACCCAGATCGCCTTGGGGGTGTATACAAGGGAGCAAGAGCTGGACGCAGCACTTCTCCAAGCCCATCGACGAGCCATGTACCGTCCGCCCAGGACCGAAACGGAGAAAACCATCATCCGAATCCTTCCGAACATCATCCCGGATACCAACCCCGACAATGTGGGTGCCACCGCCAACCTCTTCGAGCTGGGTCTCACCTCCCTCATTCTCGTCCAAATCCAACGCCAACTGCAAGATCGACTCCCCTTAGACGAACCTCTTCCCTTGGCTACTATCATGGCTCATCCCACGGTTCAGGACCTCGCTGCAGTCTGCGAAGACGCCACGCACGAATATAATCCGGTAGTGACTCTGCAGCCGCACGGCACCAAGCCCCCACTCTGGCTCATCCACCCCGCCGCCGGTGAAGCCCTCGTCTTCCTCAACCTCGCCCACCTCATCCGCGACCGCCCAGTCTACGCCTTCCGAGCGCGCGGCTTCCATCGCGAGGAACCCTTCTTCACGAGTCTGGACGAGTGTGTCACAACCTACCACACCGCAATGAAGAAGCGCCAGCCCGAGGGCCCTTACGCGATCCTCGGGTACTCGTACGGCGCGATGGTCGCCTTCGAACTGGCCAAGACCCTCGAGGCCGAGGGCAGTGAGGTGCGGTTCCTGGCGAGTCTCAACCGGCCGCCGTATGTGAGTGAGCGCCTGCGCCAGGTGCAGTGGCCGGAATGTCTGGTGAATATTGCGTTCTTCCTTGGGATTTTGTCGCGCGAGGCGCTGCATCAGTGTCTGGATGAGGTGAGAGATGCAACGAGGGAGGAAGCTTTAGCAGTCGTGCTTCCTCATGTTGATCATACTCGGATGGTTGAGTTGGGGCTGGATGACAGGAGTCTTTCGAGGTGGATTGACGTGGCGTTTAGCCTACAGGAGATAGGCCGGGAGTATCAGCCGGGCGGGACGGTGGCGCATATGGAAGTTTTTCACTGCAAGCCCTTGGATTTTCTGAATGTGGGTAAAGAGGAGTGGTTGCGGCGGCTGGCGGCTTGGGAGGAGTTTTCAAGGGAGGAGAGCGAGTACTATGGGGTTCCGGGAGAGCATCATTCGGTGTTAGGAGTAGCACATGTTCAGCGATTCTTTGTCAGGCTGGTCGAGGCCCTGGCTGCACGTGGGATTTAGACAGCAGGGCAGTCCATTTTGTGAGTGTATTTATTGATGGTGGCTGTTCGTTGAATCGATTATCAGGAGTGAAACCTGCCAACGTGAAGGTAAGCGAATCCGCAGTAGGGGGGAGGAACCCGGAACCGCCATGCATGTTCTACACATACATAGACGTGGGGCATAGAGTGAAAGCAGTGCATCGCAGGTGGGTCTCGGAGTGGGTACGAGAGTGGGGCACGATGCAAGGGCATCTGCCCTATAACCCCATGATTCTGTCAAACGACGAGGACGATATTTGCATTGATGACACTTAGAACTTAGACACGCTTGAATGTTCGCATGGCAGTCTTGATTGGCGTCAATATTAGAAATGGGTGGACTATTTATGAACACGAACGAGCAGGCTGAGCAGCCTCTACCTTGTTCTTTGGGGAGGAGAAAATCGTATCTAATGAAAAAGAAGTTGCGGCTTCGGCATGGCGATAGTATAAGATGATTAACACTTTGGTCACATGGACAATCAATGCCGCGAGGTGGGTGTGGCGGGTGGAATGTGGCTAGTGACGTCCAGGGCTCCGTCTCGGGGCCGTGCCCGTCTTGTGGCAGTGGCCGCGCTCATTTTGCTGTGGTAGATCTACCCATCCGTACTATTCTGTGACAGTCTGGCGCACGGCTCTAGCGATTCGTCATCAGAATTTTCCCAAACCATGAATTCACTAGCCGAGTATACCTATAACAACAGAGTTAAGCTTGAAACAAAACCACCAATCGAGTCATAGTATCTTCCGAACCCTTCTACAGCAAACCAAACAACTCCTACATGGTCGCATTTAATTTCCACTCCCGTTCCCATTCGTAATCATGGCCACCTGCACCGCTGCAAACCTATCACAGAACAAAAGGTCAGCAAATCACTCTCCCATCAACCCACAGAATAGAAAAGAGAAATCATTGCCAAAGACCAAGCCCTAAAGGCTCCCGAGCCTCCAAGCGATGATACATCCTGAGGTATGAGGAAGGCAACTTACGCCGTCGCCGTCGCAAAGATATCCACCTTTCTCGCCTTCACCATCAGCCCCATAACGAGGACAAACACCATATTATAGACGAAGATCGTCACCAGCCGCGCAACCATATTCCGCAGGAAGTACAGCGCAATCATGGACGAGGCCGGCAGAAACCCCGCAACCAGCAGGCTGGCCACGTAGGTGCGGCTCTTGATGGTGCGGTTGTTGTAGTACCAGACGTCGGTGGCGTGGTTTCTTCGATTCTGTTTTGGGATTTATTAAGCTTTTGCTTGGGGAAAAGTGAAACATGGGAGGTGTCATTGCTTTTGTGGCCAGGTTGGTGATTTCTCCGATAGGGGGAAATGGTGTAGTAGTGGGGTCGGGGTCACTTACTAGATCGTTCACCCCCCAGCGCCGATGGAACCAGGGAATGACGGATCGATACACCCAGCGCGTGAACGAATCGGCGCCCTCGTGGCGACTGCACAGGGCGATCAGGTCCGGCTCGTTCTCATGCCACTGGTACATGGGACGGAACTTTTGGTAGTGACTGGCTTCTTCGCGCAGGAGCCATTCCTTGAAGACCTCAAGGTCGCTAGGGTCCGGGGCACTGAAGCGGAGGAGTTGCGCTTGTTGGAGGAGGGCTTCATCTGCTCCATACTCAGCTTTTGTCAATCAATATAGTAGCAAGGAGTCTTGAGCTAAACAAAAGCCCCAGTAGCAGCTCTCCCCTCCTTCGATCTAGAACATAGACAGACAGGAAACGGCAAGTGAAGCAGGATCATACTATACTCCCTCAACAGCGCCCGCGCCTCCAGCACCTTCCGCCACTGCGACGGATACTCCTCCTCGGATTGATCTAGCGACTCCTGCAGCCGCCACACGGAGAACGCGTAGGCGCGCTTCTCGTCCGAGCTGGACCGGTGGTCTCTCTGGACACATTCGTCCAGGTCCGTCTGCAGGTAGACCAGCTCCGCCTGGAGGTACAAAAGGTTCTTGGCGTTGAGTTTGGCAAACCGCCGGAAGATGCTGGACCCCGGGTCCAGGGCCATCAGGGCGGCGAGTTTGTCGTATCCCGGGGTGGTGGTTTGGTGGGTTGAGTGGGGCGGGCGAGTCATTTTTTATTTTTGCTTTTCCTTCTTCTATGTAGCTGAAGGGTTGTGTTGGTTTCAGATAATTTTAACTGCTCTCGGGGTATCTATGCAGAAATATTAGCGATGTGGAAAGGCGCCGATTTCCCTGGGCAGCTCTCCAAAGGTGAGCTCCTGATTAAATACAGGCAGCACGAGGCGGAGCAGGTACATTATTGCTCATATGATTGGGCTTTTTGACATCTTTGCAGACGGATCCCTGCCTAGGGCTAGCTGCGTAGGCTACGATGACTACGATAAGGCTCTGGTGATGCAAAGGCTGAGATCGAGGCCAGATCAGTTGGTACTGTCTTTCGAGGGAGTGTCCACTTTTTACTCTATAGCCTATGGAATTGTTGGACGGCCTGAATAGGAGCCAACAGCGACTCGCTAGAAGGGGTCCACAAGACTCATTCATTCCAGTTAATGGGAGGAGGACTCGATACATTGTCGTCCTATCAAGCCTAGCCCTACCACCCCTGCTCCTTCTATCATGATTTCCAGATTCGCCCCCACGCACTGTCACCCTGCCAAGCGTTGGCACAGGCAGTCCCCTGTATCCTCCTCGCAGAAGCAGCTGTAACGAGGGCTAGAACTCTCGCGCTATCACGCGAGAGAGCGCACCCAGAAACCAATATATCCACCCATATCAGCAACCCACTCCTCTCACTAGCCTGCGGATTGCTCACTTAGACCTCAGCGTGTCTCCTCTCAAAACGAGCCACCATAACATATACCACAACGGAAAAAAAACATTTGAAACGGACAAGAAGCCGAACCACTCATTCCATCCATCAAAAAAGACCACACAACGCATTCCTAATCACCGCACTTCTGAGGCGCGCAATCTCTTCGCAATTGCCGAATCCATCCTCTCCAGCTCCAGGTGGCGGATCGTAGGCCTCCCCAACACAAAATCCGCATCGAGATCGCGGACCACATGGAACGTCGTGCGATGCGTCTGGCGCTGGCCGCAAAAAGACCACTCCACTTCCGCCGTTCCTACCGGTTTGAGGTCCGGATAGCCCGGAATCGCTGTGAGTGCGGCTCCGTAGTAAGGCTGGATTGGAGCGCCGAGCCGGCGACACGTCTCGTCGCACATGATGTTCACGTCCACGTTGAAGGGAAGTACCATCTGGCGACGGAGGCGGGTTGTCCCGTCGGGGGACTGGACGATGATGGCGTAGACATAATCATACTGCGCAAGTGCGCGCTGTTCGATTTCTGAGTGTTGGACTCCGTCGTCGGATATGAGGGCGTAGTTCAATGGCTTTGTGCGATCTTCAGCTTCTGGATTTTGAAGGTGTCGTGGTACTGATGGTTCGCCTTTCGAGCTTTGCTGTTGCTTTTGCTTCTGCTGTCGCGGATTATGTTGATATGCCGGCAATGAATCGGTCCTGACACTCGAATACTCCGGCGGTAACGTCTCGCGTCGTGCAGCTTGGGACTTCTCCCACTGCGCCGAGAAGCGCCGCTCCGTGGACGGCCTTGTGTCCCGGTTGCGAGGACGTCGACCGCGACATAGAGCAGCCAGCGGGACTAAGATGTTCATGTTGCAGTTATAACAGGATGATGGCTGGGATGGATCACTTGCTATGCGAGGTGCCTGATATCCCTCCGCGTCATCAGCTCACTCAATGTTCGTTCGAATGTATTCCTTTTAGTAGGAGAAAGGGTTAGGGTGTTTCGACACATACAGAGTCATCTTGTCCATCCCCCGTGCGGCTGTATCGTTTCCATAGCCCTGGTGACGCGCATTAGCAGTATAAGCCACGATTGTTCCCTGCCTAGTAAGCGCTCCAAGATAAATTTGAGATATAGTGTCGCAATCCAAGATGGGGGGGGGGGGAAACGAAATCACTTACGAGAAATGATTCTAGGCATGTCCGTTCAGCTTGAGCCTCAATGGATAACTACCAGGCTTTTTTTCTGAAGATTTTCGGGGTAGGCGGCGGGGAGAGGGCTGTAGAAATCAGCCTGACGGGTATGTGGAGGACACAAAGAATGAGAATGAGGGGCATCGAGGTTCGCCGGATGATGAGCTTTTTCTTTGGAGGACAACTTGCATGTTCCTGCTTATTGGCTGGGTGGTGTGATGTGTGGCCACATATTGGAACCTACTAGGTATGTGTAGGGATAGTCGCCGAATGTACACATGCTACCTTGGGGCCAATGCGCCATCTTGTCGACAGCCACAGGTAGGCTACTTCGATGTGCAATATGGTCGTTTTGGTCGCCCAGAAGTCTGCTTGCGATTTGTGGACTTGTAGCTGAATCAATCTAGTCATCCCAGTAACCACAACCTAGTACCTTCGGCCCATGCACTCAGCCTCGCGCTAGAAAGGGCGGGCGGGTAGTGAGTGGTGGGTTTTGCTTACACAAGTGAACACGGCGTGCACTTGTCAGACGCAACATTGTCATTTGACAGGCTGCGCATGGGCCGTTTGCCACCCACGGTAAATTGCAGTTGGAAATATCGTAACCCGTATGGGTAATCCGATGGGCTCCGGTGCGTTGCGGTTCAAACAAGAGCAAAAATGAGACTTAAGTCCATAGTCCTTTAGTGCAGGAGCCGAGATTAAATTGGTCAAGATTTCCCCAAAGACATACAGTACTGCGAAGATCAAACAAACAGGCTGAGAATGAAAAGAGAAGGGAAAACCAATAGCAAAAAGCAAAACGAACTAAAGACAGGGAGATAATCAAAACAGGACGATTGTGACGCTCCTCCCACGGGCTACCCAGAGGAGTAATGGAACGAATGCTGTCACTGCACTGCACCGCACCTTGTGAGGGTTGGCTCCTTTCTTCCCCCCCCCCTGTCCGGATCAACTCTACGCAGATGCCGCAGGCTGCGCAGCCGCGGGCTTCGGTCCAGTAGACTTCTTCTGACTTGCTCGCTTTTTCCTCTCCTCCTCCTCCGCATTCTTCTTGATCGCTTCCTGGATCTTCTCCTGGGTGATTTTTGCGGCTGAGATATAAAGGGTCAACGGTGTCCGTGGGAGGACTGCGGGTGCATCGCCGTACCTTGGGTCTGAGGAGCCAATGCTATCGGCCACATCGATGGGTTCCGAGTGTCCCACGCCTGTAAATTCAGATCACAGTCGCTTCCGATAATGATATGCACCTTGGTGGGATACTCCCGGTCTATAATCCCTGCAGCTTCATCGACGGGAATGTAAAAGTCTCTCTCGTTGCTGGCTGCGGTGCGATCTAGCCAGAAGTGCAGGCGGATCGAGTCACGGACCACGAATGGCCTGCCTGTAGGTGATTGCACGGCTATCTCGTCGGAGCGCTGCTGGATTGGAAATGCCGCAGGCAGGCGGGAAAGTCCATGTGGGGTCAGGATGTTCACCGCCAGCTCGGTTGATATGGCCGCTTGGAGCAGTAGTTGCACTCCATCCGGTGCTGCGCACCGGACTTCTACAATGCTTGATTGCATCCGAATAGCGGGGAAGAGACTCTGTGACCAGTCTGAAAGCTTTCAGCGACCGTTGCAAGATGGACAATTTGTCGTGGTTGAGCGAGGGTTCCTGGGCAAGAAATGCTTCAGAAGACGGCTCGATGGCAGGACAAACTGCCTGTTATATTTGCTGTCCGACCTGGAGAGAGCTCCATTGCCCAGGGCAATCATAAAAATTCACCGCCATCATCGATTTTTGAAGAGCCGCAGGTGCGTCGTGATGCATGGTGGAGGGGAAAAAAGGCTACACGAGGCTGAAGCACACTGGTAGCATTAAACCACCCTATCACTGTAAGACACATTTGCAGCAGACAGCGTCACTATCTTTTAGAAAGAATATCGTAGAGTCACAGTGACTAGTCATGACTTGGACTTTAGATAAGTCAGAATGAAGAAGCAAACAAAGCACAGGATACATGCTAAGCATGCAACGACTTTGGGCCGGTCGGAAACAGCAGGAACAACTTCGAAGGTGAGATAACAAACGGCAAGAAAAGCAAAAGGTACGGAAGTAGCTCATCGGGGTCTCAAAACAAAACTGAATCAGTACATTATGCCCAACCGGCCATTTGCCATCTATGTTTTATTCTCTTCGAACCCCATGCTTCCAAACACCCACCACAGAAAAATGCACGAATGAAAACTGAAGAAAATCTACTTAGGAGGAGAAAATGACTTGCATCAAGGGAAGTAGGACAGGGCGAGGAAATGGATGTGGTGCATGAGATATGTCACTGCCCGCATCTCAACGCGGATAGGACATATGAGCTGCATGCGTGCTCTTCTATCTGTGCACTCTCCGCCGCCTCTCCGCCTTTCTAGGTATAATAACCCCTCAAAGGCGCCAAAGAACACGTCGTGGGATATCCGAGTGCTTTCTGAGAAATCCATATTGTTTGATCGTCGGTTGGCCAATAACCACGTCGAACTCTTCAATGTCCACTACATAAAAGTCCGTGGTGTACGTACGAGCCGCTGCGGCAAAGTACCAGTCAACATTCCGCACAATTCCAAGAACAGAAATCTTGTAGTTGTTCAGTGTTGATCCGAGGGGTAGTAACACGAGATTGCAGGGCTCTAGTATCAGCTTTGCTTGCTCTTGGATACTCTTCTTCATGATACTCGCTCTTGCCTGGCTATCCAGCGCGGCCAGAACCTCGATCGTTTTGTTGGGATCGGCTGTTACCACTGTTGCAGTCGGAGTAAAGAAGTCGTCATCGTCGTCATCATCATCATCATCATCATCATCATCATCATCATCATCACCACTGGACACTTCAGAGGCTTCAGGACCACCGTGGGCTGGAATTGATTCCAAGGGAGGTGGTAGTGGGATGATAACCTCTTTCTCACTCCCCATGCTGAGTGAACCTTGAACCTCGCTCATCGCTTTTCGCGTTGACTGACTTGATGTATGATCGATCCGACAGGCAGGAGCGGCGTTGTTCTCGGCACAGGTGTGGTGTACGGCGACCGTGCTCGGTGTCCCGCTCGCGACCGATGAATCCATTCCCGCTGCAGCCGTCATTGCTTCATCCATGTTTTCAATCACCGTCGAAGGGAGAGCTATCCCCAACCCATGGTTTGCAGGAGCATTTGTGGAGGGAGGTGGATCGGAAGGCTTGTTTGCGGATGCTCGAGGACCCCAATGGGGAAGGGATTGGAAGATCGACTGGAAGAAAGCCCATGGTCGTCGCCAACGACGGCGACCTTTTACCATGGTTTCTGCCGGGGGACTCACTGCTGGGATCGAAATGGTTAGAACAACGGATCTGAATGTCAAGTGAAGGACCAGCTAGTGAATTACATTCTGATCGACCGTAAGGTATTGAGAAACCAACCATCGAACTTTTGCGTGATCGAGTATAGCAGACAGAGCGTAGGCTCAGGTAAACAGCTGTTCTCTTATGGCGGAGTAGGTTTGTAGAAAGGAAGACGAATAGAGACAGAAGATGAATAGGGTACAAAAGAGTGTGGACTATCAGGAAGAGGTAAGGATGGGTGACTGGAAGTGGGTGAAGGAAAAGAAGGCACAGGCGGGAAAAGTAGAGGCTGGAATCACGGCACAGACAAAACGAAATGCTCTTCAGAACGGATGCACGTTCTCGGCACCGCCTTTTCAGAAAAGCTGTGCCCTGTGAAAACCCGACAAAATAATCTTCTGACAGATTACGAGATAAGTTGTAGCTTGGATGAGGGTAAGGCGGGGCAAGTCCATAAGCCAAAGGAATCCAGTGGCCCCAAGCGACACCTTGCCAAACTGGTGCATCTAGGACATTATCATTATCACAACAAGCCTCGAGTCATGTTGGAGTGTAAAAGGAAGCACTTTCAAATTTGCGTACGAAGCCCAGCTCTAAAGATATGGGAAAACAACCACTACTAGTCAAGTTGATGTGTTCTGTGGCCCCTATGCACCGCTCCGCGCTTCTACACATAGCATCCGCTGCACTACAGAGCAAAGCGTGAGATGAGCTACCAGAACTTTTCCAGACTCTCTACACGCATAGAGCGCAGCCGGAGCCAGACCCATTGCAAGAATCTCCCACGAGCGAGCCCAGTGGCTGAGGAGAAAGATGAGAGGGTAGAATTTTACTGAGAATGGGCTGGTCATCCTATTATGATGACATCGCCGATGGCCGATTGCACAGCCACAAACCAGAGGTTAGCTGCTATGGGTGAGGTGAGCACCACTGAGAGCGTGGAAATATGGGACTACACAACCTTTGTCGGCCATTTGCTCTCATTTCCCCCAATGATAGTACTCTCTAGGTGGCAGGGGAAAGAAGAGCGCCCGTGTGGAAGTTGGGCATTAGCGGACAGTAGTCACCGGCGCCCGGCTCAAAACAACAGAGAATCTCCTACGTCTGATTTGCGCGGCAAGATCTTCTCTTTGTCTAGATACATCTCCCATTTCCGAAGAAGCTCTAGGCGGTGCTGAACATTTCAACTCTATGTTATTGTCACGATTGTCTCTTCGGTCTTTGTTTTGACGCCAGTTCCTTTCAAAGTTGGTCTGACCTGAAGCTTATTTTGGCACCTATTACCGCACTGGGTCTTCACTAATCTGGTTGACTCTAGTCTAGTGCCTATCAGGTGCCCGTGTTCCTATCCAAGTGTTAACTTATTCAATCGCCCCACGTTGATAAAACGCTTGATTCTGTTTCTGAACACCGCCACTGACTTTCCTTCCCCACATCCTCTTCAATTATAGAGCGCCAGTAAATGAAGACGTCACAGGGGAATCTGACACAGCAAGACCCCTTTCACTGCCACACCAGACTATAGCTATACTGCAATACCATCAGTGGTTTCAGATCTTCGAAGGCCGAAATACAATGATGCAGCATGCATGGCTCATCATTACTCCCTTGCAGCCGCCAGTTTAACTGGAGCGGAAGTTGGGTCCGCAGTGCACGTGCCGTGCCCCATCCTTGGCCGCTTAATAGACCTCCGGTATCGCTCCAGCCACGCAACACCAGTCCTGCGAGTGTTCGAAATTATCGTGTGCCAGGTGTTTGATGTCCCAACATCGCGATTGCAGGGCTTTAGACGGTTTACTTTCATGATAGTCAGCAATCGTAACCCTCCAGGGAGTCTCTATTGGCCGCGTAGAGAGCGAGGGTGTAGCCCGTCAAGGCTCGGACCGAGCCGTCAGGGGCAGAATCCTGTTCAGATCTTGTCATTAATAGGACAAGAACGTAGTACAATCACTGCAAACCCCAACACATACAAGGACGTCGTGATGTAAGTGGCTATTGTTCGGGCGGTCTGTCCGAGCATCGCTGAGTCTGAGAGTCGCTAGAGGCGAAGTGAAGCCGCCTTCTCCTCACACGCGCGATACCGAAGACCTGAATAAGTCAGAGGTCTCTTTCTGCCTCTCTGTCCACGGCAGAGGCTATTATCCTTGGAGGAGGCCCCCTTCTCCCCACTCTCTTGCAGGTTAAAAGGGCACCAACTGGCATGCTCGACCCGTCGCTCTGTCCTTCTCACCAAGTCAACTTGGATTTCAACTAGTTCACATCATGCATTATCGATAATCAGAGGCTTTCCTAAGTTCCCTGGTGAACGCTATAGCTCGGGAGACGGTTTCATCATTCTCTTACAAGATTTGCAATCGACCACATCATATTGTGACTCTGCCGTCTAGACCAACCAGACATGCCAGGCCCCCCGAGTAGGTCGGAGAGAATCGGTCATCTCGATATCAACCCTCCGCCATCCGCCAACGACTATGCGTTGTCAGCTGAAGAAATCATTACCGTGGTAGAACGACTCAAGAGGGGGTCTACAGTGGACATAGCAGTGGGTGCTCAGATCGCCTCGACGGAGACGGAAAACGGAGGCGAAGGGTGCAACCAAATAGAAGAGGAAGAGGAGCAGAATCCGGAAGAAAGACGCCAGGGCCTATCTATACTTGGAGTCCTTAAATGTCTGTTCAAGATGGGTTGGTCGTGTTGTTGGATTCTTCGCCACTAGGTCCTAGTGGATTCTGATTGCTCTGAGCTCTCGTCGCTCGTCGCCTTTTCGGGTCTTGCCCCTCCCCCTTTTTGTTTTGTTTCTTGTGGGAGGATACGTTTGAAATTTGACTTCTACAGTAATGTTGGAACATTTAATTCTTGTTGTAGAATAATCATATCAAGCAAGCCGAATGAAATTGACAGCCCTGTTGCTTACTTTGTCAAGGAACTTAACGTCTAGCTAGCCAGGGTAAATCCCAGACATAGACGACTATCACGGTGACCGGTAATATCGTGACCACGGGTCACCCCGCCATCTGTATTCTGTGTTGTACTTCACACTGATCCATGCTTCGAGAAAGTTGCAGCGGGTGTCGGCGGAATCAATCTTTGATTCCGCCGACACCCCCGGAAAGTCGCGTCGGAGTTTATTCCAGGACTCGTAATGAACCTCGGGGAACGGACCGGTGCCATCTGGGAAGAAGTCGGCCTCCTTGAAGCGCCAGGCAAACTCATTCATCGCCGGGTACGCTGCACAGTCGCTATAAACACTCAGAACGGGGCATGTGGTCGATCACTTCCTCCCTGGTTGGAGGCTTCTTTGGCAGGCTCCGCGTCAGAATCATCGCCTTCCAATACTCCTGGAAGAGCGGTCGGAACTCAGCCAGGCGGGATCCAGACCTTGCAGGGTGAGCGCAGGCGCTTCAGCGAAGAACGGGTTCGCAAAAGAGTTCTGAAAGCCCCAGGGGAGGTTGTGATCTTCCCCATCACTGGGTCCATCCGTATGATCGGCAGCAGCAGCCGAGTAGAAGATGTTGGTGAGATCTTGCACCCACGTGGCGCCCCTAAGCGCATCTTTTGTCCCAGATGCGACGTTGAGTTATCAAGTACAAATCTCGGTAGCAGAGGCGAACTAGAGCCTCCACCAGCCCCGCCGGACGCAGCACCTTGATCTCATAGAATTTTAGATCGGAGTAGTACTCTGCGAGACGCGGGTCGATTGTGACCAGAGAAGTATCGTCATTGAGGGGAGGCCGGCCCACCCTGGGAGACTTCAGGAGTGGGAAATAGTACTCATGGTAGAACAGGTTCAGGTCCACATGGCGCTCTTCCCCGGGGGCCGGCTGGAGATGGAAGACATGGGCGGGCAATCACCACCCTTCTTGCGGATCCCGCAACCGCAGGTCATAGAGGTATGATTGCCTTTACTATCTTTCTGGGACTTGAAATGGTTGGTACTTTGGGGCTTGTCGTCGAACCCGGCCTCGCGCAAGGCCTGGACTGCCTTCTTGGTGGTCCAGGCTCCAATGACTAGGTCGACGGAGAGGATGCGGTTCTTGCATCCGTACACCCGCCACATGCCATCATTGATCAGATAGCATGGGACATCATGTTGCTCCAGGAACGTGGCAATCTGGTAGATCAAGCGCAAGTCCACGGGTTGGCCGGTATATCGAAACGGTTGACCCTGGTCTGCAGTCCTCACTAACGCGTGTTGGTAAGAAACGGGTTCTACCCCTTGTTTGAACCAGCCATCGTAAGGTCCCCAGACATAGACTGCAGAGTCTACAAGCTCCTGCTCCTCCTTGTTATATGTCGGCATCTTTGTTTCTTGGTATGGCGAAGTCTGTGGAACTCCAAAGAACAAATACTCAAGCAGTGACTCTTGTAGGATATTGATACTTGTCTTGATGATGACAGTGTTCCAAGAACTTAGCTGCGCAGTCAAGCAGCGGGTATTTATATCTCCCATCCACACCCTCGAATGAATGAATCGAAGTTGGCATTTCTCTAGCTCCGAAAGAACCGACGCACCCCGGTTGTTGTGAATCTCCTAGTAATACTTTATTCTTAACCTTTTCCATTTCCTGAATGACTTAGTGCGAATCGTTCATCTGGGACGTCATCCAGTCGAGGTACAGTTTCAAAAAGAAACATAATTTCTTGTTTCCCTGGTGAGATCATGACGTTTATCATGCGAGCAGCCTCCCCTGAAAGATGAGAGAAGCAAATAGATCGGTTTCTTTTGTTACTGTGAAGAGTCAGGGTCCAGTCAAGGACAAACAAGCTCAGGTTAGGCCTGCCCACTCGCTAGGCAGACAAAGCATACAAGACTGGAACAGTAAAGTCGACCTTGTTCTCGAGTCGGAGGTTTCCTTATCAGAGCAATTCTGGTCTTCGAACTTTCCCAGAGCGAAAGTAAGCATGAACCTCACAACCCATCCCGACAAGAGGTCTCAAACGGTGCGATTTCTGATTAAGGTGATTGACCCTGGTAAACTGGTTTGCACCAGATGAGTTATCGGATGGAAGCCAGAGGGGAGCAAAGGGGGTCTAATAGTAAAGAGCAAAGCGAACAGTTCCAGAAAGTCGAGAGATGGTTGATTTTCAACAGCATCGCTGGGCGAGCCACAATGGATCCGGTTATCTCTTGTCAGCCGAACAGCAAGCAGTGAAGACTGTTCTTCGTAGCCGAAGGATCCACGAGTAGGTGTGGGGCACGGTTTGTGGGGAATTTCTGTAAGATGGAACATCGCTCGGTTGCTCTGCCCTAATTGTCGCAATCATCCCGGCGTGGCTGGGCAAACATACCAGACCAATCATCCGATCTGTGCTTATCACAGAATCACTTCTATATTATGGCAGGGAAAAATCCGGTGACTGACTAGACACCTGACACGTGATAGACTACTGAACATTCGCACTGCCATCGGCTAACTTAATGGGGTGTGCTCCACTCCGCATACTAACGAACGACCTAGTCACCTAAGCCACAGTGCCTGAGCTAAGCTTTTCAATAGTCGGGTAACTAATTCGGGTTGAACACCCATCGGCACTAGCTTGCCTTGTGATCACTGAAAGCAGTCCACCGGCGGAGTTTAAATTCAATGGGTAGCCGCTGCGTCCTGCTCCTACGCCGACCCCCGACACGTTGTCACTTGCCCAGTGTTTGCCCCACCATGACTCCCACGCGGGAAGATATCGCCAAGTTCCTCACGATCGTCCCACATGCCAACGAAGGACAAGCTTTGTTGTACTTACAGGTAAGCTTTTCCCCTACACGATCCCTTGCCTTTGGCCGATTTACCTTATTCATCATTCATAGGGAGCGAACACGCTCGAAGAGGCCATCACCCAATTCTACGATGGTTCTCTCACACACGCCAACAGTGCCGCACCAGGCAACACCTCAAATTCCGTGAGCCAGGATCAGAGCACCCGGGCCGATCATGCTGATCCTCTTCCTTCCTATCAAGCGGCCGTCGCAATGGGAGGCAACGAATCCAGAGCCGTGCACACCAATCCGGTTATTGAGGCGGCAAAGCTCCGCGCGCGCGATGAGGTGTGTGCAGAGCCTCGGTCCATCAGCCCCCCTTCCTTTGTTGTTCTCACCTAACTCAGAAGTCTCTCTGCATCTATAGCAAGAGATGCAAAACCGACTGCAGCAGATTCAGTGGAACCATCAGATATTCAACGACGAGATTGAACCGGAGCATGAGGCAAAGCACATGCTGACCTGCGCCTGCGACATCCACCAATACAAGATCCGCAAGCAGAACCGCGTGGCAGTGCTGAAGATGTGGTCCGAAGCCGTGATGTATCCCGGTGAGGACCCAACCCACTACGCTCTCTTTTTATGTGTGGTCGTTGTCGAGACGGGCGAACAACTAACATAGCAGATGGGGGAACAGGTGAGAAATACTACCACGACTGCTATTACTCCCAGCAGATATGGAACAACAACCCTTACACCCGAATCATCACGCCGTATGGCCCGGTAGGTCGCATACGCCAGAAGCCGGTAGCCCGATACCACGCCCGGTGGCTGGTAGAAACCATTCGTCTGAATTCCAGCCTCAATGCTACTGCGCAGAGGATTGCGAATCAATACGAGCCGACAGAGAACATCTGGGAGGTGGAGGATGAGCCGGTGGCCGCGAACGACGGCGATGGCTCGGACACGGCGCACCATCGATCCGACTCGCTCAAGCCGTCGATTTTGACCCAGATGCGCAAGTCATTGTCCCTCCGGTCGTCTGAGGAGCGGGAAGCTGCCAGGCAAGCGAAGCGGAGGGAAGACTATCGCGAGCTGCGCGACACAATCTTGGCGGAAGAGGCGGGGCGATGGCCCGACCCCGAATCCCGCCGCATTGTCACCGAATACCAGGAACGCCTAGGGTTGACGCGGCGCATTGCGGGCCTCCGTGTGCACCGCCCAATGCAGTATCTCCACCTCCTGCGCGCCGGCTACTTCGAGCCAATCCCGGTCGCGTGGGCAGAGCAGAACTCCAACCCGCTCAAGTTTCGAATCGAGGCGGCCGAGGGATGGCGTGGAATTACACCCACCTGGCGTGGGTACGAAAATACGGCCGAGGAGCGGTTGTACTGGGTCCTGAATCATCGGGTTGAGTCCACTAACGGGTCTGAACTGAGACAGTGGCTCAAACCGGACGTGATATCCGCGCTCGAGATGGCGCGAACGCGCATGGCCACTGCTGTAGACCTGCCGCCCGTCTACGAGGCGCTGGACGATATCTGTCAGACGCAAACCCCTACAGCCGTGGGCTACTCGCGCCAGGTGATGCCGTCCCCATTGCGGGCTATCGATGCGCCTGAGTTGCCGACGGACAATACAATGATCCTCCTGGACGTGTCGGGATCGATGGACTTTGACCCCGTGCGACCGTCCTACGAGCAATATATGGTCACCCGCTATGAGCGGACAATGCAGCCCAAGAACAAAGGTATGGGACCCCCCACCCCATCCATGTAATGATATACAAGTTTTCCCCTTATCCTAATCTGCCCTCCACCCAGATGTCGCCAAAGCAGTGATCCGCCGCTTCACGGACGCGCTCGCCACCCATGACCAGAACCGCGAGGGCTACCAACTGGTGACCTTCGCCAACAAAGCCGCCTACATGGGCTACATCAACCACCGGAACTTCGCCTCGGTGTGGAGCCAGATCACCGTGGGGGGCGGCACGCGCGTCATGGCGGGCTGGCAGCAGGTCAAGGACCTCCATTTCCAGCGGCACGCGGGGTTCGCGACCTACCACGCGGTATACGGATGGCAAGCAGGACCCCAGATGCCGATCCTCCGGCTCCTGCTCCTGCTGGACGGGGAGGCGACCGACATGGATGAGTTCGAGCTGGAGCTGCTCAGCCTGTCATGGGTCCACGTGACGATCTTCCTGATCGGGGCCGACGGGTGTCCGCATCACCACCGCCATGCCAACGAGCTCCAGCGCATCAGTGAGGTCAACCCACACGTCGCGTTCGTCGACGCGCAGGGCAACACCCCGGAGCGGTATGTGACGCATGAGCTGCTGAAGCGGCATCTCGGGTACGAGGTGACCCTGTCGGAGTTTGAGGAGTGGGAACGGCATGCTCCGCCCGCTTATGAGACGTCTGTTTGAGAAGGAGTGAGAGAATATGTCCTATGTAACGGATTATCTTCTTGGGGGCGCTGTCACCGCCGCACAGAACTTTTCACTCGACGCGCTGGTTTTTACAGGCTGCAGGATGCTGCGCTCAGTAACCCGTATGGGAGCTCTCTGTTACCATGCCTTACTAGATGCTCACAAGAATATTCCCAGCCCGTTAGTCAGAACATACATGTTGGTGTTCCTGTTTCAACTGTCTGACATGATGTGACAAAAGCATAGTGTTGAATAACCAGCGGCGTACATCTCTACTTCACAAACCATTCTCACTTGTCATGAAAATATGCTCAGCTAGAAAGAGGATCATGCGCAATATTGCCAAACCAACTTGTATACATAAGGGAGCGGAGTGAGCGTTGTTTACCTGGTTTTGGGTTACTCATGAAATGACGTCATCGGATGTCAATCCCACGATGATCGGGGGAAAAAAAACCCCTCCCGAGATTTTACCAGCTCACATCAATGTCCGACCAACCCATACCTAAGAACTACCAAACCTTGCCCAGTGGGGTCGGGCCCTGCCGGTAATCATGCCCCCCACAACAGAGCATTATAGTCCTCGTCAACGGTCTCCCGTGATCAAAACGCGCATGAGAAGGGGTACCCGCAGCTGCATTGCCTGTCAGTATGCACGGCCTATGGCTCTTGGAATCACAGCTTATGCAACCAAAACCAACCAGGCAGGAAACGAAAGGTTCGGTGTGTCTTCCAGTCCGACAAACCTGACTGTTGTATACATTGCTTAAGGCGCAATTCTGTGTGTATTCCGCAAGCCCTGGCACCGGGCCAGAGTCAACCCACGACCGATGGATACCATGAGCACGAATCTCCACTTGTGACGGCTTATCGTTCCCTGCAGAGGCGGTTGAAAGCCCTGTTGCCCGCACCGACTGTTCCCTTAACAACAAGACAGCAGGCACAAGCCATAGCCACCTCTACCGCACCTGAGGGGGGTAGACTTCTTAGGGACGCGGAATGTGCTCCGATTATGAAACTCATCGAAAATGAAATGGTGGGTGAATGTCAACCGACAAAGGCCTGCTGTGTAATCTCTTACCAAGAGATAGGGTGATAACTTTCTCATCACCGACGATGCAAGGGATGAACACCACCCGTCTCACAAGGAGCGCTCCAATGCTAGCCCCGAGATCTCCTCCAAACATACAGAGGCCTTGCGGGGTCTGTATGCTGCATTGCCGACGGTTCTCAACCTCCAAGATATTTTAGTCAAGCAAAGCCAATGGTGGGAATCCTGGCGTGATGCGTTCGGTCTCTCGTGGGGTGAGGAAACAGACAGGACTCTCGAAGGTTTCGCCATCCGTGCTCTTCGCTCTGAGGATCCCTGCTTACTAGGCAGCCTCCTTGTGTGCTTGGCCCTGGGAACCGGCGCCTTCGGGACTTATCTGTCGGCCGTCGAACGATGGATTCTTTATGACGATGACCTTGCTGGTTGCGAGCATGGGCTGGAATGCCTGATGGGGTTAGGACTCTGCCACTTCAGCGCAATGCAGCACCATCGTGCCTGGTCGGTTTATCGACGAGCAAATACCCTCCTCCAGCTACATGGTATTCATCGGGCACACAGAAAATCAGAAAAGCTTGATGGGATCTTCTGGCAACTCTTCCACGCCGACCGATGGCTCAGTCTGATGATCGGTCTTCCTTACTCGGTGCCAAACGATCTTTGTGATCTCTACATTCCTCCGTCGAACCCGGGATCCTTCATCACGTTTCACCATCGTCATCTTGCCATTTTGACCAGTCGAGTCATTGATTGTGTACAAGCCACTAGTCCACCTCCTCTATCCATGATTTCTGCAATTGACGAACAAATTGATGCCGTGGCCGCCCATCTCCCGCCGCAGTACCTTGATCTAACTCATATATCCAATCTGGAAGATAGGAGAGAGAGGTACGCCCGTATTTACCGACTCACGCAGGTCTATCAGCTTAAAGCGTACCTGCATCTGCCGCTCTTTCTTCAGCGCTTAGATTTACCTAAGCGCAGGTATGGGCGGGAAATATGTGCGAACAGCTGCCGCTGCTACTTGGAGGCATTCCTCTTGCTCTGTGACGATGACCCTCAGAGAGCAGGCACAGATAACAGCATTAAACTCACCGGATTCTCGGCGTTTATTGCGGCATTGACACTACTCCTAGCTATTCTGGACGACACCCGGGGCACCACCAGCCCAGCGGGTGTTTCATCGGAAAACAAACAATCCGATGAAACTCTGATCAAGAGAACGATGAAGGCGTTGGAGGTCTGCGCAGCAGGCAGTATGGATTCTTTGTGCGGTCGTTGCCTCACAGCCTTGAATGGCTTTGTTACAGTTTGTCACGAGGCAGCAGGCAATACAATTCACAAGGTCGATCTGCCTTATTTCGGGGTCCTGTCCATCATGCCCAAGTCTCATGGCTCCGGCCATGCCTCCCAGAACTCCTCGCTTCAGGACAACCCATTTTTCGGCTTCCCGGATCCGCTGGATGACATCTTCTGGAGCTACGAGGGTCCATTCGCGAACTACGATCTTCCAATTTCAAACCAGTTCTCAACGCTTTTGGGTGGTGTCTGAATATTGTATACCTTGACTGTCTAGACTATCTTTTTGAAAATATTACAAGAGTGGTCTTGCAATACAGGTTCGGGTACTCGACGAGTTTACAGGTACCCTCTTACTAGTTTTTCAGTCCCTTGGTGTCTCAATGCTGCCTGGATCGAGTACAATTTCCACGAACTATGTTTCTCGCCGCGTTGTAGATGAAGATAGTCTTATACACACACACACACACACACACACACACACACACAGATTTCCAGACTGCCTATCTAAGGGTTCATAGCAAGCCCAAATCCCTTGCATCGATGACGAGCGACTTCTCCAGCTCGTCTTCGAAGCTCGGCATGGTGGGTTGCCAGCCCAGGAGCTTCCTGCCGCGCAAGGCGATTCCACGCGAGTCCACCCCGATCATGACCTTCAACCAAGGCAGGATACTCTCGCTCTCCTCGGGGGTCACGGCCTCGACCGTGGGCGAGGCGACGAGCCCCTTGGCGTAGAGGATGCGAGCCGCGAGCGCGAGCATCTCGCGGTTGACGTAGAAGCCGTTTTCGGCCAGGTAGTACCCTTGATCGTTCCAGGTCGCGTTGCCGCCGCCACTGGCGGCCGCCTCGCCCAGCCGGAGGTACAGCTGGCTGAGGTCTTGCACGTGGATGTTGTGCCAGATGTTGTCCCCCTTGCCGACGGTGACGACCCGGCGGTGCCGGAGGAAGGCCTCGAATAGCGGGGCCGACTTCGTCTTGACCGGGCCGCGCCCTTGCCCGTAGATCACCGCCGGCGCGACGATCGCCGTCCGCACGCGGGCCGGATCCGCCGCCAGGACGACCTTGTCGACGCGGCGGTGCGGCGCCTCGTCGGGCAGCGAGATCAGTTCGTCGACGTGCTCCCAGTCGTCGTACTGCTTGTCGAAGCGCTCTCCGTACTTGCCCGTCGCGAGGGTCTCGGTGGCCAGCGCAAAGGCTCCGGATGTGTGAATGTAGTACCCGGGGCCGCCGCCATCGGCGGCGAATCGACGCCGGCGGCTGAGGCCGCGCACGATCGCCTGCGCCGAAGGAACATGCTCATCGCTCGCGGCCGAGTGAAAGACAATGTCCGCGGCCGAGGCTTCCGTCTCGAGCAGGTCCGCGTCATCGGTCGTGCCATGGACCAGCCTCACCTGCGGGTAGGCTTGCTGGACTTGGGCGCCTTTATCTGGCGACCGCACCAGACAGCTCACCTCCCAGTCGGGATGTGCGTGGGCAATACAGTATAGTATGTCGCCCCCTATAAAGCCTGTCACGCCGGTGCTGCGGTATCAGGCAGGTCAATTTGAGTTCGTATGCAAGCGTCTAGGGTTGTCAGGGTCTTACATGAACACTTTCGGGTTCATTTTCCGCGGAGCAATCTGTCTTGATACCAACAGAAATCGAGATTTTAGAGGAGAAAGAAGAAGAGGGGAAACTGAGAGGTAAGAAAATGGCAAGTTTAAGGCCTTCCTTGAATATAGCTACCAGTAGTACCTTACTTAGAAGTCAATCTATAGCCTCCCCCCTGATCCGAATTGACTGTCGTCCGAAGAGGCAGGTGAGTCTTGGTCCGAGCTTGGGGCAAAATCACGTCACATTTCGCACCAATTCCGAGCTCAACCAATCAGATCCTTTTCTTCGTCCGAGGCAGCCCTACTCCCAAAAAAAGGTACGTCCGAGCCTTCACTGCACTGCACCTGCAATTTCACCTATATAGAGTACTACCTACCTACAGGTAGCTAGTACCTACCTAGTAAGCACATACTCTGGTTGAAGTGATTGAAGAGCACTGTTGGATCGGTTCTCTCTCCCTCGACCTCTCAACTCCCTCCATAACCATTTCGTCCACGGCCGGGGGCTAGAATCTTTCGATTTCCACTGGCTTTTGCTTCTAGCATCATCTGCAGGGATGGCTGAGAATCTTCGCCGCGAGGATGTTCAGATCAGTGAACGACGGCCTCTCCACTGCGCCGATCGCACGTCAGCGGCCAGCCTCGAGCCATACTGGCCTTTAGGCCCCATGGACCACCTTGTCTTCCCTTCCGTTCCCATTGAAGTGGTGTTCGTCTACGAAAATCCACATGCGAGTTCGGCCTTGCCGTCGTCTTCCCTCGACGAGCTTCTGTCCACCCTCAGACTCGAGCAAGCGCTGTCTCGGCTCCTGGACTACTATCCGCACCTGACCGGCCGTCTGCACTTCTACCCCGACAGCAGAGCACCCGGCATCTCTCGCCTCGGCACTGGAGCCGAGCTGTTTGTGGCGGACTGTGTCCTGCGGCTCGATGATCTCGCCGCGCCGGGTCGAGGCAATGGCCGGATTCTGATGCCGAGCTTGCCGGACTGTGGGAATGCTCTGACACCCCCCTTTGATCCTACGCTCGAAGGCGTCTGCCGCGACCCTATCTTCGCCGTCCAGCGTACGCGGTTTGCTTGCGGCGGCGTCGCGCTCGGGGTCCGCCTGCACCACATCGTCTGTGATGCCTCCGGGTTTTTCCAACTGGTCCGACACCTCGCCGAGATCTACCGCAAACTGGCAACCGCGCAAGGACCGGTCCTCCTCTCCACTCCGCCCGAGATCCGTTCGTTCCTGCGGGATCCCGCGCTCCTGTCCAATGCGGAGCGGCAGGCCGCGAGCGCGTTCCGACCGTCCCTGTTCCACTTGGACGAGAGCAACGGTGCCGGGGCCGGGGGTCCAGGCCCGGAGGCCGAAGCGTTTGAGGCCGGTCCCATCGGTCCGATGCCGACGGGACGCGTCACTGGCCGTGTGTTGCGCTTCACGGGCCCTCAACTGCAGGAGCTGAAGGAGCGGGCGACGGATCCTCGGGGCAGCACGGGCTGGGTCTCGACCTTTGAGGCCCTGTCGGCATATCTCTACCAGCGGGTCTATCGGGCGCGAGTGCAACTGATGCACGACCGCGGTGAGGTTCCGGCCTCCGAGATTCCTGCCTGCCTGTCTCGCGGCTTCTTTGGCTCCATCGAGCTCCGGGGACCCACGCGTCTCAACCTGCCAGAGCACTACTTTCCCAATGCGGTGGCCCCGCTCATCCTCTCCGACCCGCCGCATGAGTTGCTCATGGACGGCCCGCTGTGGCAGGTCTCGGCCGCTCTCCATGCCGTGGTGCGGTCGTTCGACCCACACCACATGGAGGAGGAGCTCAAATGGATTGCCGTGCAGCCCGACAAGAGCCGAATCAAGGTCCGATTCCGCTTCGGGGGGAACTTCACCGTCAGCCAATGGAGTAAGCACAGCATGTACTGTGGGATGGATTTCGATGCTGATGAGGGCGGCAATGCGCTCGCACCCGTGCTGGTCTCCCCCCCGTTGACTGATATCTCTCGCGTGGATGGTCTGGCATTCATCCTGTCGACGGAGGAAGAGCTGCACCGAGCAACTCAGCACGAGGGGTCCCGGCAGCGTTCCCCGCCCTCGTTGGATGTCAATCTGACTCTCATGGAGCACCTGTGGCCAATTCTTGCTGCGGATGAGCAATTCCGGCAGTATTGTTGCGGAGAATCCCCCACGCAGCAATAAAAGACTTTTCTTTTCCTCAAAATAGAAAGTCTCAGAGGTTCTAGTCATAGAATTTGTGACATTGGATCGTATGTACTTTGCAGAAACACTGAACCCGTCTCATTGCAGTTCCTGTCCTCATCGAGCTTTCGAAATGCACGTACCGACACGGCTGCGCCAAACGTATGTATTCCAAGGCAATCAAAGAAAATCCAAATCGATTTAAGATCGGTTAACGTAGTGAAGCTTCCTACAGGTGTTAGTTATGTCGGCGCTTGTTCAAGAGCGAGGGCCTGTTCTGTACGAAATGGTGAAACCAGGTAGCCGTAGACCTTGGCCAGAGCTGAGCTCCCTGCCAGAGTCGGCTGGTTCTCGTTACTACTGCTCATTCAGTCTGAAGTGAGATAGTTTGATTCGAGATGTCCTGGCAAGTTTCGCAGTTTCGGGGGTGTGCGTCTAAACATGAGGGCCGACACTCATGGCCAGCGCCATCTGCGGGTATTTATGCAACCCTGGCCGAGCGGTGTGATCTTGCATCCACGTTCTGAGAAGGTTCTCATATGCACCATGCATGGAAGAGCCCTGAGGAAGAAGGTTACTTCTCTATTGGGTTAGACATCATGCAGGTGTATGACAGGGCCAATGAACAGAAAGTGCAAATCTGGTTCTGTGGGGCGTCGCTGCGCGGTACGGGACATCGTGGCTACGAGCGCACCACTTAAGCCCCGATATCCGTGCTAATCTCCGATTCTTATCGGACATTCTAACTCACGTTATGGTCAATCAGATGATGAATTTGTGATTTAGCAAGCCTCCAATAAGAACAACCGGGCCATCCTAATGGCATCTTTGTGCATTTGTCAATCACTCTTCGTATTTCAGTACTATGTTATTGATAACACAGTGAAGGATACAAAAAATATCTGTTTTCCTTCATGGTTCCACTCTAGTTCCATGGTATATATCGGCTCTCTGTCAAGTACGTGCTCTCTTTTTGTCGGTGCAATATATGATGCGTGTTGGACTTTTCTCGCAAGGCTAAAAGGCCCGAAGTCATACATATATTGCTCCTTCTTTTGGGCTCAGGAAAACGAGACTTAGCTCAATTATAGGAGATTGACTCCAAACCACAGCATGTGGATCTCATACTACCACCCACCGGATATCACAAGTTTTATCATATTTTTCTATGCGGTACTCTCCAACCTTATACAAAAAAGTTTCATAAGAGGGGGGAGAGAGAAAAGAAGAAAGCAGACCTCCATTTCAAGGGTGAGGAGAGCCCAGGGAGGGGGAACCCCCCTCAAGAACACACGACAAACCCATCCGTGCCCGCAAGGCTCGACTCCACTGTCTCATGTATCATCACACCGCAGTAGATCAATTCCTCGTTGCTCCCTTCCATGTACACGACTCGCATCGGGGTCTCCCAATTGGTCCCCATGGCTTTCTTTTTCTCGTCCTTGGACCACGCCTTCCTCGAGGCTCCGGTCCAGTAGACCGGGTACTCCAGCAGCTTGCTGTCACTGTTCTTCGGCTGGTCGTCACACTCCTGGACGCCCCAGTTCAGGGCGTTGAAGTTCTGGTACTGGTGCGGGTAGCCGCTCTTGGTGGTTGTACCGAAGCCCCCGGTCTTGGCTTGAGCCTCGGCGGTTGCGGTGGCTATCTTGAAGCTTTTGACCGTACTCTTATTTGTTTTGGGAGTGCAAGTGATAGTGCCCTATCATAGACATAATTCCATGTCAGTCATTGTGAAGAGTGTGTGAAGTTGAGAAGGTAAAGAAAGAAACAGTTGCATCAGAACTTACGCTACGTGCTTCCAAGATGTTGAGGACATCGGTGCTTTCCTCGTATTCTCTAGTGTCGATTCGCCGTTTGTTGTTCCTCTTAATTCCCACAAAGCCATTCTCACCGGACTCTCCGGTGAGAGCTGACAGTACCGGGGCGGCAAGAAGAGAAAGCGCGAGTATGTCTTTGATCTGCATATCGGGCAAATGAATGAATGTGTATATTAACAGATGCGTATAGTATAGGAGTGAATGATTAAGAAGGGCTGTTGATCTGTCTGGTCGTGTAGGGAAGAAGGTCGTTCAGAGAAAGAATCTTGCCGGCTTTATAGCTCGTTGTTCCCGTAGCAGAAAGCTACTGACCATCATCGGAGCGAGGTTATACTGTACTCCTCAATGCTTGCCTTCTGGAATGTAACTAGTAAGCGAGACATGATGTCTCTGATACCTACATTAGCACTACCAACACAAGCAGCTCAGTTCGCCAATAAAAACACAGACTGCTTGTTATGCGTTACGGAATTAGCTTCGTGGGAAGAGATTATATCCTACTGGAAGTGTTTTGGCATCTATATCAGACAGACTAGACTTTCATTATACGACACTCCTGCGTTTCTATTGGAGAGTTCGTCTGCATGAAAAGCTGAGGTGATTTCTGATGCTTGTATGGGGGCAGAATGATCAGAGACTGGCAAGGGCGATCTGGGGCCAAAGACCCCAAGCTTGGGGGCGCTATCCCACGCAAAGCTCGAATGATCCTCCTTAAAGAGATTTAGACAACCACAATGTCATTTGATCTGACTCATCTGAAAGATTGTTTGATAGAGTCATGCTTCTTATAGGCCTGTGCACGCCTAGGCCTGTTCATTGGCTCGACCGCGGGCAAATCCGACCGGGAAGGATAGCCCTAACGGCAAGCAAGCTGTAAGTTATTCACTAGTGCTTACCATGTCTAAGCCACGCCACAGCCAGAAAATAACCCCCATCAACCCACTTCCAGCTGCTCTTCGATTTGTGTCCATAGTCTACTTTTTCCCTCTTTCATACTTCCCGAAAATCCAGAGCG